ATCACAATTTGATATTTCCTTTTGCTGTATAAATGATTGAAAACTTGAAAATTACAAAATATATGTTCATCGTTATTGGACAACATATAAGAATGCTTTATTAGTGATCGATAATGCCCTTTTCTATTCAATAATGCATCAATATATCAAAAATTATTTTTTATTCTGATCGATTTAAAAAACACGAACTCTCTTTGAAAATCATTTGTCTATAGAATGTTCTCATCAATCACGTCAGATGTTCAAACCAATACAACCGTTCAAGTTAAAATATAAGAAAATATCAACATTTCTAAATAACTGATATTATAATCACTATCATCGAAAATTGACACGCTATGCTTACGCAACATCAAATTATAAATTAATCATCGAAACCGCATCAGGCACTTGAATTGGCATAAATACTATGTGGGACTTACTCTCTTTGATACTCTCTCAGTAAAAATGTAACATTCTTTAAATCTCAGCTATAAATATATTATATTAGATGCGTATTAATATTGTAATTTATTGAAAACAAAAAATACATATTAGTTTTCGATAGGGTGACAAATTTTTTTCTAAATAAAAAAGATATTTTAATTATATAGTTATAGTTATATATAATTATCTGTTTAAAGGTGATTATCTATAAAAATTGAATGTGATTGAAACAAGCTAATTTTCTATATCTATTATTTAGAATGAACGTTTTGGCTCAATTCGCTTGCAATATCCAAGAATACAAATCTTCTCTCAATAACAAATTATATATTTCCTAAATTACTTAGAATCAATATAGATTTTCAAATTTTAAAACTTACCCAACTAGAGTTACAAAAAGATAAGTTTAGAAGATACTCACCTGAAAAATAAATGAATATATAATAATCTCATTACAAAACATAAGTATTTTTCAAATAACTTTGCAACTTCTACTCAAATTTATATAATTGAAAATAATCAAATTCGAAGAAAATTTACAACATTAATATGAAGTTGGCTAGAAAGTCTAGTTTGCTCAGTTAGACGATCATTTAAGAGTTTATCAAAAGAGGTTAAATTTTATTGAATCCCAAATGAAGAATCTCTCATCAGATGTCAAGAAAGCAATAATATTTAATAAACCATTTTATTATTAACGATAGTGGAGATTATCGAATTTTGTAGGTGAAATGTTACATGGGAACTCCTACATTATAAAAATGTCAAGAATACCAAAAATTATTCAATGATGAACATAAAATGATATTTGCTTCCTGAATACGAAGAAGCACATTTACTGAAATGAACGAAAAACCCAAATCCATCATAATTGATGATTCGCACATTCGAAAAAACTGATCAATTAAAACAACTAAAAATTAGCACTATCATTATTGAGTATTTCACAATAATACATAAAGACCAAAACTTCGGAATAATGAGGCAACTAAAAACATAAAAGCATCAGTACGTATAACTCATCCCTTTAATACCGATATGAATAAATTGCAAATAAATTGCAATTTTAAGAGAAGTATTATTGAGAGGCTTCCCAAATGAAAATCATAATTGACAGCAATCTCTACCTAGTTATGGTAAATAAATGCGGGAAAACAATGTATAGTAAGGGATTATTTCTGTAAAACGCTTGTAGAAAGTTAATTCTACCCATGCTCCGTGAGAGCATAATAAACCTCTGTTCGTGTGATTCTTAATGCAGCATGAAAGTGAAAACATGGCAACCTGATAACCATTATTCTGACGATTTCCCGAACGTGCATACATTCACATATTTCCGGAATCTAGTCGATTCCGACGACTTCCAGTACTGAAATACTAGGTAACCTAGAGAGTGTTAAAGAATATCCAATTCTCAGAAGAACCCGTTATAGACGACAGAAACACAGGTTAGTAAATAGCAAACACTGCCATGCTAAATCGGTTCAGTCAAATTATGTTTCTTGGAAAGAAGTTTTATTCAGAGGCTTCCGAATTAAAATTAAACTTTGGCAAGAGCTGCTATCGAACTATGGGGAGAATATGAGCAAGCTTGGAGATTTTTAATTGGATTCATAATCACTATACATCCTCAAAAAAAAAATTTTTTATAATGATTGTTTAATTGACAGAGCTAAAAATAGTATTTTAGATTATGAATGTATTATCAGTGCTTGTGTCTATGGTACAATTATTTCTTTCATATTCCAATCATAAATAGTGTAAATTTCAATCGGATAATGAATTCCATTTGTCCATAATGTTAAATGGAAAAAACTGAACATCGGGGAATAACTTTCCGTTCAGGGTTCACGCACTCGTATGATGAAGAATATATGATATGCCTAACTGTAGGGCGATAGGGACGACTTCGGGCACATAAAACTTAGAGTACTGTTCAATTTCGAAAATAAATCTACAAAGCTTAATAAATCTACGTCCCTGTGATTCTCAATGCAGCATGAAAGTGAAAACTTGACAACCTGATAACCATTATTCTGACGATTTCCCGAACGTGCATACATTCACATATTTCCGGAATCTAGTCGATTCCGACGACTTCCAGGACTGAAATACTAGGTAACCTAGAGTGTGCTAAGGAATATCCAATTCTCAGAATAGCGCGTTATAGATGACAGCAACACAGGCTATTAAATAGCAAACACTGCCATGCTAAATCGGTGCAGCCAAATTATGTTTCTTGAGTAGAAGTTTTATTCAGAGGCTTGCGAATTCAATATAAGATTTGGCAAGAGCTGCTATCGAGTTTTGTTTAGAATATGAGTGGATCGGAAGGTTATGAAAATAAAGCTCAGGGTCAATTGAGAGTTTACTTTAATAATTAAATAAAGAAGTAATGTCGTTTTATAGTCGACGAAGAGTAAAAGAGAACTGACGCAGTTTCGGCTTTTTTCATAAACTAAAACAACAAAACAAAACAAAAGAGGAACAGTGCGCGGACAGAGGCGAAGCTCGTTCAGCAGGGAAAAGGCGTAGAGAGCGCCCTCCTTTCCTTAGCAAAATTTAATGAAGTGCTCTCCATCGTTATTTCCGCCAAACATCCCGCCCGCCTCATTCCGTGAATGACTCTAAATAGAATCGCTTCCTTTGCTGAGCTGGCCTTCTGTATTCGGAATGGGCAGTCTGGCGATCTTGACGACGGGTCGGACGTACTCTCCTGAAGCTGTGGTGATGGTGGCGGTACGAACCGTACCGTCTGGCCCCGGGTGTACAGCAGTGAAGTGGCCAGCGGCCATCTGGACGAAGTAATGAGGGATCTGCGATAACGACAAAATCCCCGACCTGTAGATTAGGCTGTGGCTTCCTCCACTTGGGCCGCTGGATGAGGGTATTTAAATACTCTCGGCTCCAACGGGACCAGAAATGTCCTCTCATGGCTTGAATGAGCGCCCAGTGACTGACTTGATCCAATTTTCCGTTGACAGAGATAGGCTCGGGATAAGACGTGGCAGAAGTCCCGATTAAAAAATGACTGGGTGTGAGTGCGTCAAGGTCACCTAGATCGCCTGATGGTGGAACAAGAGGACGGCTGTTGAGAGTGGCTTCAACTGCTACGAGGAGCGTGGCGAACTCTTCGTAGGTGAGACGTCGAGGTGAAGCAACTCGCTGGAGGTGCCGCTTCATCGACTTCACCCCCGCCTCCCAAAGCCCACCGAAATAGAAGGCTGAAGGGGGAATGAAACGCCAGTTGATACCTTCCTTTGCCAGTGTTCCTTCGACAACTCCCCAATCAATCTCGGCTTCTCTGAGGAGTCTGCGGAGCTCAAGGGCGGCCCCGCGGAAATTGGTGCCATTATCGCTCCAGATTTCAGCCGGCCGACCTCTCCGACCTATAAATCTCTGCAGGGCACCAAGAAAACTGGCTGTGGTGAGGTCTCCGACGAGCTCAAGGTGGATGGCCTTAGTGCAGACGCAGACGAAGAGCGCGACGTAGCCTTTTACTGTGGACGCGCCTCGTTCCTTGTTGCGACAAAGATGAAAGGGCCCGGCGTAGTCGACTCCACAAGTTGAGAATGGCCTGGCTGGCGACACTCGGGCCGGCGGGAGAGAAGCCATGCGAGGGGGCGAGATCCTCGCCGCAAGGCGAGCGCAAACAGTGCAGTGGCGGAGGTATCGCTTGATTCTCACCTTCGCCCCAGTAATCCATGCCTTTTGCAGGGCTCGAGCGTAGGTGGCCCTGAAACCGCCGTGAAGACTGCGTTCGTGTGCCCACCGGATGACTAACTGGGCGAGGTGCGCTGGTCCTGGAAGAAGGATTGGGTGCCGCTCGTCGTACGGCAATGAGGAGCGGTCAAGTCGGCCGCCTACTCGAATTACTCCGTCGTTGTCAAGGAATGGCTCGAGAGTTTTCGTCTGACTGCAGCTCTTCAGTTGGTAGCCTCGGCTCAGCTGAGCGAGCTCCTCGGAGAAGACGTGACGTTGAGTAATCCTGGCGCAAGCGATGAAAGCCTGGCGGAACTCGGCTGCTGTGATCGGTGACATTAGTAATGCAGTCTCTCGCCGTCTCAGAAGTCGAATGATACGCGTGGTAGCTCGTAATAGGCCGTCGAGCGTGGAGAATCGATCGATGTGACTCTTCTCAGAATGCAGTGGCTCGTCCTCAATCTGCACCGTTGCACAAGACACGTGACTGCCATGCTGGCACTCCAGGCGGTCGGTGTCGTTGACCTCGAGTGGCCACTCGCTTGCTGGTTGTGTCAACCAGTCTGAGCCATGCCACCAGATTGGGTGCAGTGCGAGTTTAGTGGAGTCTGTGCCGCGTGATGCGACGTCGGCTGGGTTGCAGCTAGTGGGGACGTGATGAAACGTGACGCCCGTGGAAATCTCCTGCACGTGAGACACATAATTGTTGATGATGTCATGTCCCACGGGCTCGTCCGACCGGAGCCAATGAAGAGCAACTTGCGAGTCACTCCAGAGATGGCAGCTCATTGGCGGCACTGACAGTGCGCTGGCGGCGTTCTTCAGCAGCATCGCAGCGATCAAGGTGGCGCGAAGCTCGAGTCTCGGAATGGTCATCTCTCTGTGGTAGGGAGCAGACTCTTGACTGGAGCCAGCTTTGACTTCGCTTCTAGGATGGTGGTAGTGATTTTGCCATCACTGTGGGTGGCTCTGACGTAAACGACAGCAGCAATAGCACGTCTGCTGGCGTCTGCGAAGGCGTGCAACTGCATATCTTGTCCGGGAATACTACCAAACCAGCGGTCAATGGTGAATTCTGCAGCCTCTCGGATTCTGTCGCGAAATGTCAGCCATCTATTTAGCCAGCTGCCCGGGAGTTTCTCGTCCCAATCGAAGTCGGCCACGAGAGTCAGCGGGGTCAACCAACCTGCTGGGTCAAAAAAGGCAGCGAGCTCTGCCAGAGCAGTTCTCTTGGTAAGACTTGGAGGCGGATCAACGACTCCAGGGCGAAACTTGAAACGATCCGTCACTGGATCCCAAATAACGCCTAATTCGCACACTGGTCCATTGGTAGAGAGTTGAACCCAGTCTGCCCGTAAACGGTCCTCAGCGGGTATGTCTTCAAGCAGTCCAGGCTCGTTGGCCACCCACTTGCGTAGATGAAAGCCGCCCGCCCTAAGCAGACCGATAAGCTGATCTCTAAGGCTCCTTGCTGTCTCGAGGTCATGGCTACCACTCAAAAAATCATCCATGTAAAGGTCTCTCTTAAGTAATTCGCGGGCCAGTGGAAACCGATGTCCTTCGTCCTCGCCGAGTTGCTGCAGGGTGCGAAGTGCGAGATAGGGGGCACAAGCCGTGCCGTAGGTGACAGTCCTGAGAACGAAATGTTTAGCTGGCAAGTCGGATGATGGGCTCCAGACGATACGCTGAAGATGACAGTCTCTCTCATCCATTAAGATCTGTCGAAACATTTTTTGAACATCTGCACAAAAAACATATCGGTGTCTTCGCCAGCGTGTGATGATCGTCGCTATATGTCCTTGTAACTTTGGGCCCGAATGGAGTGAGTCATTGAGACTGAGACCTGTAGAGGTGTCGCGAGAGGCATTAAAAACTACTCTTAGTTTGTTTTTTCCGTCGCTGCGCTGCCAGATGCCGTGGTGTGGGATGTAGAATACTGTCCCTGAGTCCTCTCGAATTTCCTCGGCGGTCAGTGCTCTCATATGACCTAACTGCTCATACTCCTCCATGAACTGGCAGTAACTGTCGCGTAAAACGAGGTCAGAGCGCATTCGTCGCTGCATAGAAACGAGAGCTGAGCGCGCGTGGGGTAGACTGCTTCCTAGGAGGGCCTTCTTCTCCGACTTCAGAGGGAGTCTCACAGTGTATCGTCCGTCAGATGTTCGTCGGACTCCTTGAGTGAAAAGTGCCTCACATTCACGGCCGGCAGCTGAGATTCGTCGGACCGACGGAACTTCCTCGAGAGCCCAAAAACGTTGCACTAGTGCTAGAAGCTTCTCGTGACTTCCTTTGTCGCACACATGTACTGCGGTGGCGAGAGCTCGGGTGGTGTGACTCGTTGATGACTCTAAAATCGCAGTGGATCCTGTCAAGATCCAGCCGAATGTCGTATTCTGGGCCAACAAGGAACCAATTCTCCGAGTGCCCGCTAGAATGAAACGATGGTAAACGTCCGCTCCGATAACGATGTCGATCCTCCCGGGCTGATCAAAGGTAGGATCAGCTAGTAGTAGTCGGCGACGGAGGTTGGACACCTCAGAGCCGGGAATCCCTGACGGCGTAACAATGCCGATTGTCCGAAGAACAACGGCCTCTGCCCGGATGGGTGAACGTCGGCCGACGTCTGCGATATAAATTACTGCTTGAAATTTGGCTGAGTCCATGGCAGGCCCAGTCACTCCGATCACTCCCACGTTGGTACGGCGCAGTTGGCAGCCCAGTCTGCGAGCGAAGTCGAGGCTTATGATGGTCGCTTCTGAGCATGGGTCAAGCAGTGCCCTTGCCGCATCCTTACGGACTCCGCCACTGCTTAAAGAGACGATGGCCGTGGGGAGTACGACTAGTCATGCTGTCCCGTCCTCTCCAGTTGATTTTGCGCTGGTCGCAGCAGCCTGGAGTGTTGCTGGTCGAACATCACGAGGTGAGGTTGATTGTGACTCCTCGTTTGTCTGGCGTTGTACTCTTCCAGCGCCCTCGTGGATTAAAGTGTGGTGGTCACCGGCGCAACTCCGACAAGTATTGTTGGAAGGGCAGTTTCTGGCAGTGTGACTACTACCAAGGCAGTTGTAGCAGAGGCCTCGTGCGGCCACAAGCTTCCGTCGCTCTTCTGGCTCGAGTCCCCGGAAGGTTATACAGTGGCCGACATAATGTGCCTCCTTGCAAGCTGGGCACCCTCCTCTAGGGCGAACCGTACCCGTGGCATGGGTTCGTATAGTCCTTGGAACTATGGGTTGAGCCGTTTTCCTTCGGCCGCTCATGTAGTCGATTGAGGGGGCGGTGGCCACCTGACCGAGAGCGCGCAGAGTGCAGTATCGTCGCTGCAGGAACTCCGTGAATTGGCGAAACGAAGCCTCTCCGGTCATCGATGAGGTGTCGAACGGCATGCTGGGCTCAGGCTCTTCCTCCCAAGCTCTCTTCGTGACCGGGTCAAGGGCGCGCACATCCATGAAGACAAATCAGACATCCCACGTTTGGACAGGTTGATTCAGTCGTTCGAGTTGAGTGCGGCATCTATTCAATTCGTCCATGAGGGTCTGTAGTCCTTCGGGTGTTTCTTTTATGAGGGGCCTCAGATTCACAAGCGCGGCTAAGTGGTCCCTCACTCGTAACTTCGGCTGGTCGTAGCGTCGGCAGAGTGCTTCCCACGCCTGCCTGTAGGTGATTACGATGGAACGAAAACATCGCAGTGCCTCCTCGGCTGCCCCCTTAACATTCGTTTTGAGGTAATTTATCTTCGTCGCCTCTCCTAGTGTAGCGTTGTCGTGGACCAGGTCAACGAAAAGATCTCGAAAGGCTTCCCAGTCTTCTGGCTTTCCGCTGAAAGTGGGCAGTTCCAGGCGAGGCAGCTTCGAAAGAGGAAAATCCGTGCCGTGGTCTGCCGCGGTGATGAATGCGCCTGGTGTTGACGTGCGGTCCTCGGATATCGTGCAGCGAACTTGATGATCCAGCAAGACGCCGCGGCTTTCCACGTAAAGCTCTTCTGCCGATGCAATGGTGTCGCTCAACCGATAGTCTACGGCTGACGCATCGCCGAGGGTGAGAAGTTGTCCATGATTGCGGTGGAGGTCTCGCCAATAACCGTCCAGGAGCTCAAGTCTTGACTCGATGGATCCGAGTGTCCAATTTGTTGTGGGCGTGCTAGCAACCTTTTCCGCAGTCCGCTGGATGGCCCTCTTCAACTCTTGTTGGATGTCTGCAAGCTCCATCTGCCGAGATGCGATTAAAATTCAGTGTGGGAGCCGTGGTTGGGTCAATTCACTCGGTCAGCCAGCTGAAACTTGATACCGACCTCTCGGCTCAAGTTGCCAGAGCGCTAAGCCGAGCGAATTCAACCCTGAGTTTTAGGTCGATTAAATGTGGTCGTCAAAGAAAGCTCGGTTCGGCGGTCTGACGGCTTGTCGCGCACTTAACGACCTGCCTGCAAAATAATTCACCCGCTCGCGGCGCCTCGCCGTTCGTAGAGCCTCGTCATTTACATAGTATTGCTTGCTCTGTCGTGCCGACCGTCGCTACAGGAGGTTCTGCAAGCCAGTGAAAGCGAGAAGTTCCCCTTGGCCCAGCACCTCTTCATTGGACTGGAAGCGACCTGTGAGATAGGAGGCTCAAATGGTCCCATCGTTGTGGCGGGTGGAGTGTGATGAGCTGTTCTGCTACACTGCCCGCTTATCACCAGACAGGTCCTGGTGCAGTGCGACTTGCTGAGCGTCCGAGTATTCGTCTGCAGCGATCGCATGCTGTGACGCCCGCCGATCGGAGATGATGCAATCATCGGCGGCGGCCGCCCGCCGTCGACGCCCGTCATTTACAATGAAGCTGAGCTCTCACGAGTCCCAGCGATCGTTAGAGGCTGCAGCCTAAACACCAGCTTCCGCGGCCGACCCAGTCCCGTTCACCCTTTATCCGTCAAGGAGTCGCGCCTACATCGCACATAACCCGTCCGTCATAATTCGCACCACCTTCAACTCACCCTGAATTCGTCTTCTTTCCGCTGGCAAATCCGGCTCGAAGGACCAAATGGATCGGAAGGTAATGAAAATAAAGCTCAGGGTCAATTGAGAGTTTACTTTAATAATTAAATAAAGAAGTAATGTCGTTTTGTAGTCGACGAAGAGTAAAAGAGAACTGACGCAGTTTCGGCTTTTTTCATAAACTAAAACAACAAAACAAAACAAAAGAGGAACAGTGCGCGGACAGAGGCGAAGCGCGTTCAGCAGGAAAAAGGCGTAGAGAGCGCCCTCCTTTCCTTAGCCAAATTTAATGAAGTGTTCTCCATCGTCATTTCCGCCAAACAATGAGCTAGCTTGCAGATTTTTAATTGAATTCATAATTTATGATACATCCTTGAAATGACAGTTTGTTATAATGATTGTTTAATTGACAGAGCTAAAAATAGTATTTTAGATTATGAATGTATTAACAGTGCTTATGTCTATGGTACAATTATTTCTTTCATATTCCAATCATAAATAGTGTAAATTTCAATCGGGTTATGAATTCCATTTGTTCATAATGTTAAATGGAAAACCTGAACATCGGGGAATAACTTTCAGTTCAGATGTTCAAGCACTCGCATGATGGAGAATATATGATATGCCTGACTGTAGAGCGATAGGGACGACTTCGGGCACATAAAACTTAGAGTACCGTTCAATCTCGAAAATAAATCTACAAAGCTTAATAAATCTACGTTCCTGTGATTTTCAATGCAGCATGAAAGTGAAAACTTGACAACCTGATAACCATTATTCTGACGATTTCCCGAACGTGCATACATTCACATATTTCCGGAATCTAGTCGATTCCAACGACTTCCAGTACTGAAATACTAGGTAATCTAGAGAGTGTTAAAGAATATCCAATTCTCAGAAGAACCCGTTATAGACGACAGAAACACAGGTTAGTAAATAGCAAACACTGCCATGCTAAATCGGTTCAGCCAAATTATGTTTCTTGAAAAGAAGTTTAATTCAGAGGCTTCCGAATTAAAATTAAACTTTGGCAAGAGCTGCTATCGAGCTATGGGGAGAATATGAGCAAGCTTGGAGATTTTTAATTGGATTCATAATCAATATACATCCTCAAAATGAAAATTTTTCATAATGATTGTTTAATTGACAGTGCTAAAAATAGTATTTTAGATTATGAATGTATTATTAGTCTACGGTACAATTATTTCTTTTATATTCCAATCATAAATCGTATGAATTTCATTCGGGTTTGAAATTCTATATCTTTATAATGTAAAATAGAGGAAACTGAACATCGGTGACTAACTTTGCGTTCAGTTGTTCACGCACTCGTATGATGAAGAATATATGATATGCCTAACTATAGAGCGATAGGGACGACTTCGGGCACATAAAACGTAGAGTACCGTTCAATCTCGAAAATAAATCTACAAAGCTTAATAAATCTACGTTCCTGTGATTCTCAATGCAGCATGAAAGTGAAAACTTGACAACCTGATAACCATTATTCTGACGATTTCCCGAACGTGCATACATTCACATATTTCCGGAATCTAGTCGATTCCGACGACTTCCAGTTCTGAAATACTAGGTAATCTAGAGAGTGTTAAAGAATATCCAATTCTCAGAAGAACCCGTTATAGACGACAGAAACACAGGTTAGTAAATAGCAAACACTGCCATGCTAAATCGGTTCAGCCAAATTATGTTTCTTGAAAAGAAGTTTTATTCAGAGGCTTCCGAATTAAAATTAAACTTTGGCAAGAGCTGCTATCGAGCTATGGGGAGAATATGAGCAAGCTTGGAGATTTTTAATTGGATTCATAATCAATATACATCCTCAAAATGAAAATTTTTCATAATGATTGTTTAATTGACAGTGCTAAAAATAGTATTTTAGATTATGAATGTATTATTAGTCTACGGTACAATTATTTCTTTTATATTCCAATCATAAATCGTATGAATTTCATTCGGGTTTGAAATTATATATCTTCACAATGTGAAATGGAGGAAACTGAACATCGGTGAGTAACTTTCCGTTCAGGTGTTCACGCACTCGTATGATGAAGAATATATAATATGCCTAACTATAGAGCGATAGGAACGACTTCGGGCACATAAAACTTAGAGTACCGTTCAATCTCGAAAAGAAATCTACAAAGCTTAATAAATCTACGTTCCTGTGATTCTCAATGCAGACAACCTGATAACTATTATTCTAACGATTTCCCGAACGTGCATACATTCACATATTTCCGGAATCTAGTCGATTCCGACGACTTCCAGTACTGAAATACTAGGTAACATAGAGAGTGTTAAAGAATATCCAATTCTCAGAAGAACCCGTTATAGACGATAGAAACACAGGTTAGTAAATAGCAAACACTGCCATGCTAAATCGGTACAGCCAAATTATGTTTCTTGAAAAGAAGTTTTATTCAGAGGCTTCCGAATTAAAATTAAACTTTGGCAAGAGCTGCTATCGAGCTATGGGGAGAATATGAGCAAGCTTGGAGATTTTTAATTGGATTCATAATCAATATACATCCTCAAAATGAAAATTTTTCATAATGATTGTTTAATTGACAGTGCTAAAAATAGTATTCTAGATTATGAATGTATTATCAGTGCTTGTGTCTACGGTACAATTATTTCTTTTATATTCCAATCATAAATCGTATGAATTTCATTCGGGTTTGAAATTCTATATCTTTATAATGTAAAATGGAGGAAACTGAACATCGGTGAGTAACTTTCCGTTCAGTTGTTCACGCACTCGTATGATGAAGAATATATGATATGCCTAACTATAGAGCGATAGGGACGACTTCGGGCACATAAAACGTAGAGTACCGTTCAATCTCGAAAATAAATCTACAAAGCTTAATAAATCTACGTTCCTGTGATTCTCAATGCAGCATGAAAGTGAAAACTTGACAACCTGATAACTATTATTCTGACGATTTCCCGAACGTGCATACATTCACATATTTCCGGAATCTAGTCGATTCCGACGACTTCCAGTACTGAAATACTAGGTAATCTAGAGAGTGTTAAAGAATATCCAATTCTCAGAAGAACCCGTTATAGACGACAGAAACACAGGTTAGTAAATAGCAAACACTGCCATGCTAAATCGGTTCAGCCAAATTATGTTTCTTGAAAAGAAGTTTTATTCAGAGGCTTCCGAATTAAAATTAAACTTTGGCAAGAGCTGCTATCAAGCTATGGGGAGAATATGAGCAAGCTTGGAGATTTTTAATTGGATTCATAATCAATATACATCCTCAAAATGAAAATTTTTCATAATGATTGTTTAATTGACAGTGCTAAAAATAGTATTTTAGATTATGAATGTATTATCAGTGCTTGTGTCTACGGTACAATTATTTCTTTTATATTCCAATCATAAATCGTATGAATTTCATTCGGGTTTGAAATTCTATATCTTTATAATGTAAAATGGAGGAAACTGA